GAAGGTCATATATGCATACATGAATGAGTCAGCACGCTGAATATACTAGAAATAGACATTATAGACTGTCAAACATAAATAATAATAAAAATAATAATAACATAGACGATAGTATCATTATTATTGATAGAAGTAGGAATATTGTTCTCAGACGTTATTTGATTTGCATCTCAATAGTGGTGTATAAGGTTACAATAAAAGGAACTAACAATATGGTAAACTAACTAATAGATAATACTAGTGTGTTTTGTGAAGACGTATATGTTTATGAACAAGGAGAATAACAAACAAAGCCTGGTGTGTACTTTTAATCATTTAAAACAATACTTCTACTCAAAACAAATAGATAAATAGACAGAAACGTGAATTATGACTTCTTATTTTTATAAATAGAGATTCGTATATTTTTTAACACTAATGAATCTTTCAGTGCTTCTTCTGTATGGTTCAAAGATGTGATGAGAGTGTGCGCATCATCATCAAGAGCATTTCCAACTGGCTGCTGTAAGCCTTCATCAACAGTCGCCTTCAATCGATAGTAGTAACGATCATATGGTCAACCAGGAAGGATAGGTAACAAGGAACTTAAGCAGACAGTGAATTAATTATTCAGGAGCCTATTGCCAAAAATTTGCAGAAGGAAATAAAGATCGGTTGGACATGGACATAGGTGGCATCACACAATAGGCCATCGAGTGGGACTTAAATAGGAAGGGGTGAGCTGTTCATGTGATAGTAATGTGGAGAACACCATATAAAGAGGAAAAAAAGAAGGTCGCGGGCAGTTGTAGGTAGAGCCATCTGAAAATGATAATAGAGAGCAGAGTACAATGGAAATGTGCTGCTGAAAACCCTATGTTCCATGTTCCACTCGGAACACTAGGAATGAATAGCAACAATAATAGTTCAGAGTCAAAATAGTATATTTATCGACCCTCCAACGATTAGGATCACGAAAAACGGAGCCTAGAACCATCAAGTTACCAAGTAAGCAGGTTATCATTTCAGACAATGGCTAGGCAATTCTGCATCACGCTATAATCAAACTCATTGATTGACAGTGGTGATACGCTCGCCTTGAAGCTTGATACGTCGGTAAACTCGATCTTGCTGAACAGTCAGTCCTAACCACACTCTATGTAGTACATATAAAGATAGAGGAAAGAGTAGAACAATTCAAAGGAACTATATAATCAACAGAAATGTACAGGAGAAAGATTTAATGGATCTAAGCGACTTAAGGAAGTGAAAGTATGTGCGCCATTGAGAATGATTTTGAGTCATCACCCAACAGTCTCTCTCTAACATTATTGATTCTTAATGGTTTGAGCACTCCAACGAGGTAGTTTACACCACCCATTTTGGTGCTAAATATCACATCACATTCAGCTTTCTGCTTACATCCTATCACGCCAACAATTTCCAGTAATGTTTTACATTCGCATGATGTCAATCAAAAGTAACTGACACTTCAACCTGTTATCATGAAAAACAGTTATTTTTTATAAGTGAATACATTTCACTGTGGTCATTTAATTCCTTACTGTTTATTCAGTGATGTATAATCAAGCATAAAGATTTAGCTGCTGCAAGAACCACATACACAAAGAAGCAAACATTGTAAAAATCAAGTCCAACCAATCACTGGCTGTCAATCCCTTATTTAGACTATCTACCGAATCTGTTTGATCACACATCAAATAAATCAATAAGATCAATAAAAGTAGCCTGTGATTCTACTATTCAAATTTCGGAAGATTGATTTCACATTAGATGGAGAACCTCTGAATCACGCTGCCTAGATGAAACGACTAACTACATACGTGAACAAGTGTACAACACTTTGATAAATATTAGCATCCCAATGGAAATCCTAAAAGAAGGGTTATTAAGATGCATCATGAATGTAAATTTTAAATTTGATGGCACACTTTACAGACAAGTGGACGGGGTAGCAGTGGGCTCCCCATTGGGTTCCATGTTAGCAGATTTCTTTCTAAGCAAACTAGAGAATTGTCCTTTGAACAAACTTATAAAAAAGCTTCTTTTTATTGCCGTTGTATGGATGATACCTTGATTCTGTGTGGAAATGATTCGGACAGGAACACAATAATAACTCAATTCACTAAAGTACAATCTGATATAAATCTCACGTGTGAAGAGGAATCTCAAAATAGAACTGCTTTCCTAGATGTCCTTCTTACAAGAAAACGAAACGGTAGTATAAAGAGAAATTTGCATGGGAAAAGCAAATAGGAAATTAGCATACCAGAATAGTTCATCAGGGAGCATATGACCAAGAAAGTAGAAAAGGAATATTCTCTATCTGTAGATACGAAGCCTTTATATATATATGGCTGCAGTTCAGAGGTGACGCACCTAATGAAATAATTACTGTTCACGAATTCTAACTTCTGGCAATTTGTCATATACATGCGTCGGTGGCACAGCGGTTAGGACTCTCGTCGACCATGCACATGGTCCGGGGTTCGATCCCCTGCCGACGCACACCTGATATCTATGGTCGGCCTGCAAAATTTGGGCTACCTATATCATATGCTGAAAATTCCATAATTGTACCAAAAATACTGTGTGGTTTCAAACTGTAATCAAAATTTTAAAAAAATTATATCACATTGCATAACCTCTTTTGTTTCTAATGTTTCTCTAACTGAACTCAGTTCGTGATGACAACTGAAAACAGTCAAATCTCGATAACATACAGCAATCCAAAAGTAAGTGTTTTCTAGTTGGTAATACACTGTATCACTCGCCCTGTGTGGTGTCTTAGGCAATAATGTTGACTGGTAAATTGTGTAACATCGTCGTTTCTATGGCTGTGAGACACGACCACTGAAAGCAACATATATGAAAAAGCTAGTAGTCTCCAACCGCAGCTGTTTGCGTTTATATCTCCTGTGGTAAGTGGTATAATACAGTGACTGATACTGAGGTTAGGCATAGAGCACTGGGTAGCCAAGGAGGGCGAGTCAATAGATGAAGTTGTGAAACAATATCAACAACTCCGATGGCTAAGATGTGTTGCTCAAGCCAAGCCATGAACTTCCTCGTCGGAAATTTATTAGCTTGCATGTGAGATTGGTTTGGAAAAAGTTTTTCAAGATGGTCAAATCAAAACCTGGCATCAATTCATGAAATTTTTTTTTGGTTTGAACCGTGATCGGACGTGTAGACTACCTGGTTGGAATCCTCAGGATGCTAAGAAATAATAGCATGAGGCTGTTGGTGAGATGGCTGAAAATCGTTCTCATTGGTACAGGATGCATTCACTTAGTGTATGATCTTCTAGATCTATTAGTTTCTGATTATAAATCTCTGTTCTTCATAATCCCTTTGAATTGATTTTATGCCTTTTCTCTACTACACGACATGAAGTGTAACAACTTGAACTGGTGAACCTCTGTGCAAGGTTTTCAGTCACATTGCACAACATTGTAAAACTTACCAACACGATAAAAATTAGCAGCTCAATGGAAGAAATTGTTACTAGGTATCAATCAGTGTCCTAATAAACAGCATTTTTAATGGTGTCTATTTGTGTCACGAGAAGACAGAACAGTGAAACATCAATATAGATAGACATATTCCTCACATACACAAGAGATCTAACTTTTCCAGTTTTTAAGTATTGGTTTTTAGGGATTTGATTTGATTGGTTACAGGATTTCATCATGAGCTGACATCGGTTAGAGAACCATTGGAAGACCACCAGGGAGTACTGGACAGCTGTTTCGCCCTAGTTTGGGACTCTTCACAGTATGCACCCACCGGGGTTCGAACTCTGGACCCTCTAGTTACAAGATGAGCTCGTAGGCCATTCAGCCACAGGGACCCGATCTAATGGCCAGCCCATGAATTCCAACTTCTGCCAATTCACGATATGGCGTGACCACTAGCCAATGTCATTGGCGAGTATCTGTCCTCATGCCCGACATGCTGTACTCCACTGGTCACAACTTCACACTAGAACCCAGGTAACTAGCTACCTGAATAGGGTCAGTCGCTTGTGAGCATCTCATTGACATTCAAGTATTGGTTTGTAGGGATTTAATTGTTTAGTTACAGAATTTCATGAAGTGTTTCCAGTGAAACATAGACAACTTTTCAGTAGCTGTGAATTAGTTTTGCTAGCCTTACACAACTAGTCCAACCTTCCCTCTTGTCCACACTTACTACAGGGTACTTTAAGGTTTACGAGTGCGTCGGCCTGGAATGGAAACTATGTGTAGAGTGATTAGTGAGCAACCTCCTACTGAACTAATACACTCCAGATCTTGAATATTGAAAGGAGAAAGAAAATGAATGACGAAAGCCATCGGAAACCCTATTTATATCTACATAAGTTCCTTCTGAAAAAAACCTGGAATTCTGAAGTACATCATATGATCGACCTTAACTTCTTAAAATAAAGCTTGAAAAATCAAATTACACTGAAAAAAATTTGAATCTGTGAATAAACACCTTGAAGTGAATTATCTCGACTTAGAAACAACTATGCACTAAAATACAATAGTTCAAGTTGTCGCACTTTTGATGAAAGTTAACAGAGAAATGGAAAAAAAACTAAAATACACGGAAATGTACGACAGAAAGAATAATTATATGTGAAATAATAATGATTCAGTGGATCTAGGAGTTCACACAGAGTACTAGTAAGAATGATTGAAAGCTATATCACCACCAACAGTAGCAAGCTATTTGGTGATTTTCAGCAACGCGACGAGACAGTGTACACCTCCCGACCTCGCTGACACCAACAGTCAGAGACTTTATACATTGATGACAAGTTTTGATTTGACCTCCCCCGCCCCTCCTAACTTTTCCCCAACCTAATCGTATGTCAACTAATATTACTCTACAAGGAAGGCGATGACTTGCTATGAATAATACTGAGACGTAGTAAGTGAAATCAGACAGATTAATTCCTTGAGCATAACGAACATAGAAACAGTTGACGAGGATGTGACTAGACAAAATCATTAAATTACTACTGTCGAGAAGAAATGTAAACCATTACAAATCAACATTAAGGAATCAATGGTTTTAAACTTACCATGCACTGAATTCTTCCCACAATTTGTTTGTGATTGATGATTTAAAAGCTCGGAAAGATATGTAGAAGACATCGATGAAATGTGATGTTGTGATGATTTCAGATTACTCTGTTGTCCCATTATTGAATCTTCACATAATTTTGTACTTAGCATTGTCGTTCCAGGATTTGTTTGTTGCATAGAATTATGTTGGGCAGAAGGTGCAATTGGAAATGCATTGGGAGGCGGAGGCGCAGGTGGAGCAGGTGGGGCAACCGGTTGACTAGGATGATTTGGATTTGGCAATAAACCTGATTGTGTTAAATGAGGTTTTAATAAGCCAAGTAGTGTATACGGTGTTACTGGTGGTAGCCAAAGTGGTGATTTACATTGTGAACTATTGTTATTAGAATTACTGTCATCTGTTAAACTGTTACGAGTAGAACGATTCGCCTCTATATCATTCGACAAACCATTTGTTGTTGATGACAAGTTCATTTCAAGAAACGATGATGGCATTGTATTTCCCATAATTATATCAGTATCCAATGATTGCGTAACAATAGTATTCGATCTGTCCGTTAATGGTGTTGTTAAAAGTTGTGATTGCATTTGATGCTGAAGATGATGACTCATGACACATGTCAAGACAACAATAATTTTTCAACCATATACTAACTTGACCTGGAAAATAATGATGCTTATTATTTAATGTGTGTGTATATATATTATATATTATACATATATGTATATATTGTTTCATATAAGTATGTACTTAACATTATTGGGCAGCTGACTAATGTGTACAAATGACCTGAATTCAATCAACACACACCAAGCAAATCAGAGATATGTTTTTCTTTTGATAGAGTCCAGACAACAACTCAAAAACAGTGACAGATAAACTTACTTTATTAGTGCTTGCTCTCTGTTTAGTGTCTTTTTCATGCCTACAGGTATGTCGACCGCAAGTGTGTCTGGTTGTCTATCTATCTATCTTAGATTTTTAATTTGTACGTTTTTGTCTATGGGTGTTGATTCTTCAAAATTTTGTAAACAATTGACACATCTAAATAATGAATTTATTTGAAGGCTTTTTTCTACATATTTGATGGTGGCCCAACTGCCGCCTGTAGCATACGTGCCATTGATTGGATGGATGATTGTCCAGGCTCCCATAATTATATCCATATGATCATCTTCAAGTGTATAACGAATTGTTTTTCATCCATTTAACGACCAATCAAAGCCTATTGTTTACCAATATCCACCCCCGCTTTTACTATGATAATAAATCATGGACTGATTAAATGAAGGCCTGATTTCCATTTGACCTTCGGAAAGTACTTTAATTGGATGCATGTCGAAAATGGTGTCTTGTCAAGGTTAACAGTTCTGACTGTCTGCTCAAAATCTAAACAAAAGATTTACGAAATACATTTTACATTTGTTGTCTAATCTCTCTCTCTCTCTCAGTTTAATGCTGACATCACGGTCATTACCATTAGGCAGATGTGTATTGAGAGGTTGGCACTTTTATAGGCTTCAATGACAAATGAAGATTTATTTTTGACAAGGACAAAAATTTCATACAATACACTGATTATTTTTTTCTAAATAAAAATGATGCCTAAACATTATAGAGGAAATTTATTTGATAAAATCACTGTCATTTAGCATTATTTACTAATGACGACCAGCAGAAAAGGTTCGAGCACAGTGTGCATTAGCACTAAAATAGTAAAATAGAAGCACAACCAAACTTAACAAAATAGGAATCTAAAACAGGATAAAAACATCGTCATTACAAAGGCTGATAAAGTAAACTCGACAGTAATTATGGATAAATCTGACTACATTGAGAAAGTCACTGAATACATTGCAGCGAGTTCATATTAAGGGATTAAAAGCCTGTAGATACAATAATGAATAAGATTAAGAAATCTACAGCGTATTTAACAAGCAGAATGAAGCCGTCTCTGGGTGAGTCTAAGTGGTTTATAATTTAATGCCTAAAACTAATAATGCTAGTAGAATTTATGGTACTATTAAAATACATAAACCAGGTTACCCCATACGACCAATAGTAGATTTTAGGAATCCCCCTACTTATGAATTATCAAAACACCTAGCTCTAATATTATGTCCCATCAGAAATCATTCAGACTTAAGGTTAACTAATTCACATGAAATGAAAAAGCAACTAAATGACATTCAAATAGGGGATAATGAAAACAAAGTTAGTTTTGGTGTCACTAGTCTTCATACTAACATACCAATAAATATTGATCTTCGAAACAATTACAAAAGAACTAACTGGTGATCCTGAACTTATTCGTAGAGCAAAGCTACTCACTGAAGAAATTATTTTAGGAATTCAGTTATACCTCACATCTACTGGAATTTTTAATATATTTCTGCGTTGAAGTTTTTGTAGCAGATTGGTTAAGTTTTCAGGGGTGGAGTTGCTAGCATCACGCCCCAACCCTCCCTCTTTATCCGGGCTTGGGACCGGATAGAAAACTAGTGAGCTAGTAATCTACCTCAACTTTATAGACTTTGAAAAGGCCTTCGACAGCGTTGACCGCGAAGTAATTTGGAAACTACTCGAGTACTACGGCGTAACCCAAATATTCATCAACCCTATTCAACAGCTGTACGACAACGGCACATGTCAAGTGATCCACAACGGAAAACTCAACGAGGCGTTTGGAGTAAACACAGGAGTCAGACAAGGGTGCTTATTATTACCAATGATATTCCTAATTGTGGTGGACTGGATTATGCGTCAGACAGTGGGAAACAAGAAGACAGGGATATCCTGGACCGACGTGAAGAACCTAGAAGACCTGGATTTCGCGCATGGATGATTTATGTTTGATGTAACACAAAATCGAAGACTTACAAGCGAAAACCGACAAACTGGTCGAAGAAGCTGGCAGCAAAGACAGGACTCCAGGTGAACATAGACAAGACGGAGGTTATGGAAATAACCAGCCAACAACAACAACAACAGCAGCAACATCCATCGCCAATCACCATCAACGGGAGGGATTTGAAACAGGTTACTTCATTCACTTATCTAGGGAGCATTGTCTCAACTACAGGAGGAACGGACGAGGATGTCAAATTGAGAATCGGGAAGGCGAGAAACACATTCATCAACCCGAAACCAATCTGGAAATCTTCGTTACTCAGCCTGCATCAACAACAAAATTCGGATTTTCAATACAAACGTCAAGTCAGTCAGTTCTTCTATACGGATCAGAAACTTGACGGCGGGTCACCAAGAATATTTCCAACAGCCTGTTGCAGACCTTTATCAACAACTGTCTTCGTTCTATACTGAAGATCAGATGGCCGGAAAGAATCACCAACAAGAAACTATGGGAACAAACGAAACAAGAACCAATCGCTCAACAAATATGCAGGAGAAAGTGGAGATGGATTGGACACTCGCTGAGGAGGCTGCTGGGTGACATCGCGCGTCAGGCCAACGCTCGAGTGGAACCCGAAAGGGAAGCGGCGAGTGGGACGTCCAAGGGTGACATGGAGGAGATCGTGTGAAGAGGAGTTGAAACAGTATGGACTAACATGGATGCAAGTGAAAAGTACAGCAGAAGACAGAAGCAAGTGGAGGTGTGCAGTTGAAGCCCTATGTTCCACTAGGAACCCAAGGGAACAATAATAATCATAATCACATCTACTATCTTTAAATTCCAGGGCAAAATATACAGACAAACAGGTGTGGTAATGGGATCACCAATATCTCCTATCGTAGCAGATATCTTAGTGGATAGCTAGGAAAATACGGCTCTTAGTACATTTGGTCCTAGTCCAAAATTATGGTGGAGGTATGTGGATGACACTTTCACAGTGTTAAAAAACAGAACATATCTCTAGCTTCTTGATGCATATAAACTCACAAATAAAGGGAATAAAATTCAAATTTGAATCAGAAAATAAACAAGGAGAATTAGCTATGTTAGATTGTAAAATCAAACGAACAGAAGAAGGTAGACTGCACACTAGTGTTCATAAAAAGCCAACTTATTCCAATAGATATTTAGACTTTAATTCATCTCATCCGTTGTCTATGAAGGCTGGCTTAGTTAAGTGTCTAACAAACCGAACAATAGCACTAAGCAGTACACCAAAAAACCTAAACGATGAAACGAAACGAATAGAAGAATAGCTGGTTGGTGTTAGATAACTATCCTATAAAATTCATTAAGATAAAAACAGGTCACAAGGAAAATAAAAATAATAGTGGAACTGGTAATCACAACATAAACAAGAAAGAATATAAGGTGTGTACAGTTTTACCATATAAGGAGGGGACATTTGAGACTCTAAGTAGGATCCCTAATAAAGCAGGCATTAGTGTGACATATAAACCTCCACACTCACTGAGCTGTGTGGGATAAAGGACCCTATTGACCCGATTAGACAAAATACCTTGCAATGATTGTGAGTAAGGTCAACTACATTGCTAAAACTAGTAGGTCGGGAGTGGTTAGATTATGGGAATAGAAGAATTTAGCTAAGTAAAGAATGGTTGACTCCGCGAAGATGAGTAATTTAGAAAAAAACAACTCACCGATTGCAGTGCATGCATTAACACACAACCAGACAATAAGATGGGAAAGAGTAACAGTTCTAAAATGTAATATTCATAGGTTGAGAGAGTGGTTGATTATTAAATCTTGATTCATCGAATCTTCACCTAACACATACAGTAGTAATGACTTGGCACCATTACCAGAGATATGCAAAATATTGCTACCAATCAAGTCAAAACACAAGAAATAATATTCTATTTTGTGTTGTTAAGTTTGAATTAACGTTATTACCTTCTAACATTTTATTTATTTTATTTTACTGACAATTTCTTGTCTTTTTTTCATTTGTATGTCTAATCGATTTGTGTTACATAGATACAAACAAAGTTCAAAAGTTGTGTGAAGACTTTTGAAACTGTAGAAGACAAGAGAATTAGTAAAGGAATGTTTATTAGGAATTTGGTATCTCTATATACCGAAATTATGTACACCTTATCTCAAAATCGTCATCTGTAAAGATCTTCCGATTTTGGGCTACTTCTGTCCTTCATACTGTCTTTCTTTGTCTTCCTTTTCACATCTCCCATGTTTCTCTGCAACGCTGAATCATTTGCCTTCTCTGAAATTGAATCTATCTCCCTCCTATGTGATATTTTTAATGCCGATGAACGTCTCTTTATATACTGAACATGTCACACCTTGATATGATTATGAACAGTCATAAATTGTGCTCAACACGTCATAATTAAAAATTACTACATTATTGCATACTTTTATCCAACAAATCTACACTAGGATAGAATTATACTCTAACACAGTGCCTAGGCTCTGTTCTTATATCAATGATAACTAAACATTTATTTATTGATCATTAATGAATTTAATCGATAGATGAATTATTTTTTTTGAAAGATTGAGTTTAGTGAGCAAAGAATATTGACATTTTCGATAACTCCTTCAACTTCTCCTTCTTCATCGGGTTATTCAGTTATATCCATCCATAATAATTAAGCTATCATTGTTGTTATTGACAACAGCAATGATGTTGGAAAACATCTGTAAGTGGTAATATGC